GTGCGCAATTTGTTTTTTACTACATTAACTGAACATTAGTGAAAAATCATTATTTTCTTTCAATTGAGCGCGCGTGAGACGTGACGATGTCAGCAGTGTACATGTCCCCTTTTAGGCAATGTGCAGCGACACCTAGACTGATTCCACCAGTCTGTCAGGAGCGAATACTACGACTTATGGAATCAGTCTAAGCGACACCATTTTGTGCAGCAAAGCATGATGGTAGTTGTAGTACTCATACTTTTATATTTCCGCTACAACATTCCTCTTCAGCAGTTTTTTTTTCTTTTTTTTAATGAAAATAGAAGTGTTTGTGCCGTTTCTAGAGAAAATCTAAAAACGTAAAGGAGATATTTTAGGTGCTATTAAAAGTGAAACCTTTTCTGCACAAAATGACGTCGCTGCGCATTGCCTATTGACTTACTCTAATCAGCCAATCAGCGCACGGCAATTAACACAAGTGTGKTATCAATAACTAAAAGTGATAATATTTCACTCAATTGACTAAAAAAATTATTAGAAGTAAATTATTCAGTTACATTGAGCACTGGCAGGTTTCTACCWTTTCTTCCAAGAGCTTGATATGCGGCTTTTTCTTTCTTCTGTCCTTTGGGATCAGCACGGGTAAATCAAAGTGTTGGCACATCGCTTGGAGAACTGGCAACGTCAGCTTAGTRAGGGAGTGGCTCTTGGCCAGTGCGCATATGTCATACTCCTCGTACGTAATTGGATGACTAGTATSCAAAGACAAAAGAACAGCTTGTTGAGCGTTAACGAAATTAGCCTCTTCTTGTTGAGCACTGACGTCTGCCTCGGTAAGTTTTCTCTGTTTTGCAGCTTCTCTAGAGAAAAACGACTTTATTTGCTGTGCTGTCAGGAATTCGCATGACTTGAACATTCTGGTTCCGTCCGGTCCCACACATCTTCGCATCTCCTTTGAAACAACTTCTGGACTGACTTTGTGTCCGGACGTAACACCAATGTTGAACTTAGACTTCAGGTAGCTAACTTGGCTGTCGCTAAACCGGTAAGATTTGGCTKCCTTTTTTAACGACCACCYCTCCTCCAGTACTGCGGTTGTACTACCGTACTCCGTTGTTAAAGACTTCAGAGATGGGATTATCCCAACTCCCTCTTCTAATCTCAGGGCATACTGTGTTTTTGCCATGTCCATCAGGGACTGCCTTTCAACTGTTTTCTCGCATTTTTCGAGAGATAGGTGGCGTTCAAGATTTGCGTACCTGTTCCATTAGAAGCAGAGTAAGTTTCTATAGCAACTACAAAAATCTAGCTTTTACTTAGTGTCAGATTCAAGTGGAAAAATGAATGAAACCTCTAATTTCTAGAGTGCAAGGAAAGAGTTCCAGAACTATGTTATATCACAAACCTTTGAAAAACTTTAACRMAGCCATCTTGTGGACATGAGTACAAGTTATTTTTTTCTTCTTGCGGCTGTAGGGACTGATCAGATTCTCTAGCTGCAATGGGCTTGGTGTCCTTTGTTCTCACCGTCATACTTCTAAAATCTCCAGAAGAGAATTCCTTGTCAAGCCATTGGTAAGCCATATCTTTGAGTAAAAAACTATTGCTATAACTACGTTCAACTTAATGCAATCAAATTTTCATCAAAGACGCTTAGGCACTGGCACCGCAAAATTCAATAAACAACCCCCGGACACTAATCTACTTAATATGAATATCTTATGACATTAGGTGTTCAAAACGTCGAATGAACAGCAGTGTAGCAATACAGCAATATATGAATTGTATAATACCTGACGGTAATTTTTCCATTACTTCTTTGCCACTACCAATCCCATAAGCCTTCCAAGCATGGA